AAATAAAACATATGATTTGTTTTATTGGGCAACTTTCCCATTGTTAAATATCGCAAATAGATATCTAATATGTTGAGTATCGTCGACAGTAACCTGTTCATGTGTGTTGTTACATACTTTGTTTAGATACATAGTTTATGTGCTTTCAATCACACAAGCCTAAATAAAACCATTAAGGAAGTTTGTTTGCATAAAATATATACATTTATAAAGGACAAAGAGGAAGACTCTGAAGGATGTCACAAGCAGCAGTCTGTTCTGCCTGACCTGAGGTGAGGAAGGCCAGCGTGCCGATCGTCTCGTTGGACATGATATTGTGGAAGCGTCCCAGCTGTCCAAACATCTGCAGGCTCGACTCTTTCTCTCTTCGGGCATCAGGGGCCAGGCCTTCCCACTCACCTCGGTCCCGCTCCAGCTGCAGAATCTTGATTTTACTTAAGTACTACAAAAAAAGGGATTGAGTTATTAATTTGCATAAAAGTAGCAGTAACCCATTCAAAAACAAATAAATAAATAGACCTGGTGTTTTATCACTAGCTATACAATTTAGGAAGACTTTAAAATACAGAAAAAAACGAGATGGAAAAAAAGTCTCTGCCAAAACTGATAAATATGTTTTCATGGACTCAAAGTAGTAAACTTAAAACAACGTGGGCCTCACCTGTATAGCCTCATCCAACAAGAAGATGGCGTCATTCATCAGTAAGTTGAGGAACCTGAGGAACAGAGGGGGGTTCATGGCCTCCAGGTTTTCAGATGCATAGTTTGCTAAATGCTGGGGAAAAATAAAGACAACCAAAATAAAACACAAGTCCCACTGGAAAACAAACCATTTTACTTACTGCTCCTGTTGAGTTCATCAATACTTTTACCTTTTTAAATGATTACAAGGAGTCTAAATCCATACAGCATGTGGAAAATAAAAGATTTACCATGTCAACGTAAGACTTCTAATTTTGATTTTTTTTCCCCCTCAGCTTTAAGTTTAGTTATTAAAGAGACTGTAGGAGTTTATTACCCTCCAACAAATCTATATTTGCAATTTAAGAAGCTGCCAAACCATAAACTTCACACATTATATAATCTATAAAGCCTTTCATGTCCAAATATTAAAAAATATCAACAGCTTTTTTATGCTGCCACTCTAAAAGGCCTCATGTAATTCAGTCAATGACATTGATAAAAAGATCTACAGTATGTGGTCTGGACTTGTTGTCACACTGTTAGAACCAAAAGAACAAATGTAACAATCATTGCAAAGAAACCTTCCAAACTCAAACATAAGATCTTCATTTCCTGTTAAAATCCTCAACTCTTCCAGCACCTGAAGGTGTGAAGACGGCTTTAGATAAAAACAATCAAACACTGTATTACCTTAATGCTCTCTCTGTAACAGTCTTTGCTCCACATGTACTTCAGAATTGGATACATGGGTCTCCTGTAGTTGAATTTCTGTTCAAACTGATGAGGGTCACCTGGAAAAAAGGAAAAGCAAAGCTCCAGTCTTGCCTACTTCCTAAGCCTATGTTGACAGATAGTTCAAAGTTGCTTTACCTGTAAATTCTATATCAACAAACACAGTGATGAGGGCCTCGGCCAGCTGAGGCGCGTGTCTGTAGGAGCAGAAGACTCTCTCCCTCTGAAACACGATAGGCTGAGCAGCACCAGGAGCCAGCGGCTCCATGTGGGGCATCACAGCCTCCAACACCTCTGCAAGCTTTGCTCTTAAATGAGGGTTCTTCATCCTATCGTACATTTCAAATGGCAACATGTGAAAATCTGGGAAGTGCTTTTCGTCACGTCTTTCTCCGACAACTGAGAACGTTACGCACCTCTCTACGTTACCCATAAAGACAGTGATGAAATGAAGGATCTGCTCCAAGCCTTCCGCAGAAGTCTCCAAGGCGTCGTCGGCAAAACGTCGCAGGAAGATGAAAAAGTCTCCCAAGTTTTCTGCAAAAAACTCTGACAAACGAAAGCCAGCTTTTTAGTTATGAATATTTGACTGAGGAATGTTCAGTAATGACATATTTTATTATGAGCAACGAACCTCAGGCATATTGCACGAACATCTGCAGCCACTATAAATTCTTTGCACGATGAACATACTTAAAATGACTAATTAGCCACGGGACTGTAAACTGCAACAATACATAAACTAACCTCACTAAAAAAAAACAGTTATGTTGATGCAATRTTGGCATTTTCACATTTTGTAAATAATAATAATACATTTTATTTCAAGGCAAATAATTAGTAAATCTTCACTGAAGCTGCGGAGTCAGACATCTGACCCACCTGGGGTGTAGCAGAGCAGGGTGTTCTGCAGGGAGGGCAGGGGGAAGCTGAGTGCTACATGCTCAGGCCCCTGGTTCCCCATGCTGAGCTGAACGAGCACCGCAGCGGTGGAAGCTTGCAGGTTAAGGCAGCATCGCAGCATGGCGGGCTGTGTGGCGGCAGCTTTGGTCGACAGGTAAACAATCATCAGACGCTCGAACTGCTCCAGGAGCTGCTCCGACATGGGGCTCCCTGTACGCTGGGCCTCCTGATAGGTCACCTGGAGCCGGTGGAGAGACTGGTTCATCTTGACCATCTGCTCGTGGAGTCTGCACACACACCATGACATTACCACTCATAGACATAAGGAAWGCTCTGCAGCGCTGAGAAATGATTTGCTGGGACTGAGCCCATGATTCTGTGACTGATCTCATGTACCTGTGGAAGCCGAGGTGCATGGTGAGCTGTGTGAAGATGAGGTTTTCAGTTACCAGGCTGTAAGACTGCGCAGGCTCGACCTGCTGCTGCTGGGGCACAGGGATCAGGCACGTTTCCTTGTCAAGATCTGTTAATGATAATAAAAAAACACATTCACTTATTATTTTTGCTGTTATTGTTATAAATCTGTACAACCAGAACAACTGAGCTGCCTCATCATTGATAGGTTTTCCTCACATGACAGATGTTGGGTGTGTGGCCTTGTGTTTTCTTGGTGTATATTTACTATATTTCAAATCTCTATTTCAATCTTTCTAATTACATTTCATCTTTTTTCCTATTTCCTCTTTATATTAAAAAACTAAATAAATCACTAMCTGCGTTTCCATTGCAAATGTGTGCAAAACTTTGTCGACATTCTATTAATGTCGAAAAAACACAGCTTCGCAATTAATGTTTCCATTAAGTAAGAAATGCTATTAAATATGTTTGTTCTTGCGATAAGTCATTACAAACATACAAACACATAGCAAATTGCTTACCACGACACCTAGCGCTAATCATCAGAGGAGACGTCGACGTCTTATCGAGGCTTTCCAGCGACAAGCCCCTTATACTTGGGAGCGGCTACGTATGCTGTATTTTTGGGAAATTGTAGTCGGTGAGTTTACTACTTTCTTTTACAACTTCGGTGATTTTACTACTACTTCTATTTCCTGTTGTCTTCTTTTTCACCAGTAGAAACAGCCGGTTCTTGATCACGTGACTCGTGATGCGAAAAAAGTGTTTCCATTGCAGTTTTGCGAAATACATCAATTTCGATACGGCCGAAAAAGCACCTCATCCTAGCGCAAAAACATTTTGTCGAAAAACGAACGTTTTTTCGAAATTGACGTGTTTCCATTGAGCAAATTTGTTTTCGAAATTCTAATTTGTGCATTTTCATGGTGCATTAAGAAACTAATATTAAGTTATATGTTCTACTGAAATGATAAAAAAAGGGTTTTCCTCACATGTACACTGACCTCTTGCATGGAYGTTGCGACTGCGCCTCTCGTCTTCACTCAGGTCTTTGAGTGCGCAGTAGGTGGGGTTGAAGGTGAGCAGCTTGGGTGAGCGAGGCTTGCAGAACGGCTGGCACAGCTTCAACAAAGCCGCGCCCAGGTTTAAGAAGAACGCGTCCGAGGCGTACATCTGAAAGATCTCAGGCATCTGGTTGGCCCAGATCTTGGCTCGGCCGCTGTTAGCATGCAGGCAGTTGCCCAACCATGTGAGCAGCAAGTGGCGAGTCTCTCCAGATCGCTGCAGGAGGTTTTTTAGGATCTGGTGCAGTTTGTCTTGAAACTGCCCCATGAACTGTGACACAAASGGAATAAAAAAAGAGATCGTGCATTGAGGCATTTATAGTTTGCTGCTATGGTTTCTATTAAAAACATACAAAGACAAAAATGGCAAAATTAGGTCCATATACCTGATGGATGTTGGCCTCCTGGACCTTTGTCTCTTGGGCACTTGAGCGAGCGGGGTTCTGGAAGTACCCATGGCCTTCTACAATGCCTGGGGTTTTCAGCAAGCAGGATATATTCAGAACAGTTCCAAGCAGAGTCTTTTGGTACTGCAAACCATTAGCTGGGTCTTTGGGCTGCATGTGTTCCACCAAGACCTTGAAAAAAAAAAACAAAGAGAAAAGGAACCACCGGATTTAAAAAAGGATTCACTAAAATACCATAAAATATGGACACAAATTGAACTGTTGTGAAGCTGACGCCTATTTATTATGACCCCTGCACGTGAAGCGGGAATCATATTGTTTTCGTACGGTTTATTTATTTATTTTGTTTTATTTTATTTTTTCAGTGATTTTTGGTCAACCGTGGCACAAAACGGCTGCACCAATCAATTTGGCAGGACTGTAGATGAGTCTGACCTACAC